ATAGGGTAGGCTGGTATATATATAAGAGGGGAAAACGTGACGCGGTAACAGAGGTAATGGTGTGTATAGTCAGTGAGTAATTGATCTGCGGTCAGAGTATTATTGACGTTCGTTGCTATAGCGTTTGTTTAGCGCGATTGTTGAAGTTGAGTGTATCGGTTAAGTTATATTCGGAAAGAATAAACCAGTTTTATTAAGTAAAGACTTGTGTCGCTTAAGTTTCGTCGGAAAAACAATTAACAAACGGAGACGTAACATCACCTTAGGAACCGCCCGTTATGGCTAAATAAACACACAGGCTAACTTCACTTTTCTTTCACTTTCACTAACTTCTTTCCTTTCACTAACTCAACTTACTTTCTGTATCTACACGTATTTATAACACGCAACAGACAAAATTGTGAAATATCTAGCCCTCTAGTAACAACAATATAAACATAACGAGAAAAACATAGAAGCTTCGAGTAAGATGACGTCAACAATATTACAAAAGCCTAGTACAACAATTAAACTACATACACAATGTACGACTCGTACGGAGTTACATAATGAAACTTGTCATAACTATCGCTTTTAAAATAATTAACGTTTAACACTCTTGTTATGAAAAATAAATAATTATTAAATAATAAATCGTTAAATAAACTAAATAATAACTTAAACTAAACAGTCTCATATATCCAACAATAAGACTATTTTCAATTCATACACAAAGTCTCCTTATATAACTCACACCAACATTTGCAGTTCTTATGCTGGTCTTTCATTGCATAGGGCATCTGGTAAGGCTTCACTTTGACAGGAGCCCTGGTCGTGGTCTCAATCTTATGTTTCACAAGGTATGTCTTGCCTAGTATATATGTGAAGACATCTGTATACTGGCACAGTCTGGGAACTGTTGGGCAGAAATGAGCCGAAAAATTGCTAACTACGACCCTAAACCAACTACTGTACCTGAATTGCAGTGCATTCTACTGACTCATTGGGATGGAATCACAGTGGATTACATCAATAACATCATCAACAGCATGCCACATCACTATGTGGAAGTTATTAAAGTACAAGGAGGACCAACCAATTACTGAATGTTTAATACGAACTGATATAAGGTTACAGACGCTATTTATAATAATTTGATGTTATATTTTGTCATTATATATGTTTTGTTGTGATAGGTGAAATGCTGAATTACACATCTTTCTACGGGTTTCTGATAAAATTGTTTTCTACTCTAATAAATCGTTCATGATATCCATAGAACTTGTCTCATTATACAAACTACATATATAGATGTTTAATATAACATGCATCTCTCAGTTTGACAATGCTAAGTGTATTTGTATTCCATCTTAATAATGATGATCTTATTTATTACAAAATATGCAAACATTTTGTCCAAAACTGTATTTCTTATAGTTATCATATTTCTCCCCTTCCTCTTCCTCCTCTCTGCTGGCTATGGTAAGACTAGTCACGGTCTTGCAACAGCTGGCCAGATTTCCTCTCAGAGTGACATTCTGCACACTCTACAAGGACGAAAACGTGTTAATTAACAATTATGAATTGTTTATATTGATATACCTTTCCTGCTTCAATTTCTGATGGAGTTTGGGTAGTGGAACTTGTACGACTTACTTCTACTGTGTGCCCCCCAGTGACAAAGCGGTATGTCATCGGACTTACAACGCTTAAATCCGGGTTTCGATACCCGTGGTTGGAAGAGCACAGATAGCCCATTGTGTAGCTTTGTGCTTAATTACAAATAAAAAATAATACTTCTACTGTGACGACCCTAAACTCTGGTAGACCGTCGCAGCTGCATACTTTATCTGAAATTCAATATTTTCTAAATAAAATATATAGCTATAAAATTTCTGCCTTACTTTAGCCTAGAATCATCATCTCCTGCTTGCACAATTCTTACTACTCCTTATAGTCAGCTATAAGAATGGCTACTCTATCTGCAGTATCTATAAAATTCTCAGTCACGCACTATTGGCTTTAATTCGACATTACATCAGCCATCACCGTGATTGTCGATCTAATGCTCGAAACTGACCTTGGTGCTATTTTTTTTAAACTACAACTTAAAGATTTCTGTTGTGAGAGACAGCCTAGAGTTTGTATAACGTGCCCCCCAGTAGCACAGCGGTATGTCTGCGGACTTACAACGCTAGAATCCGGGTTTCGATACCCGTGGTGGGCAGAGCACAGATAGCCCTTTGTGTAGCTTTGTGCTTAACTTCAAACAAAACAAAACAAAACTTGTATAACGTTTTAGACGTTTGTGTAACATGGCTGAAATCTACTATGCAGTGGTAAAAATAAAACCGTGATCCTGTCAGCAGTATCATGTCTGAAACAGAGGGAATTCTATACATAAACAAATAATACGTGACATCAATACAGTTGCAACATAACATAACGTTTTGGAATAACATGGGACCTACTGATCCATCTCGGCAGTTACATTCTATAAACTAAATTAAAATAATTTTAAATAAATCTTAAAGCCAGCCCTTATCATTCATGTACTTATCAAGCTTTCTCTTAAACTCATTTAAATTTACTGCCTCCACAATATCCGAAGGCAACCCATTCCAAAGGCCAACCACCCTGTTAGAAAAATAAAACTGTCTTAGCGGAAGATGGCTCCTACCTTGACAAAAATTTATATTTTTGTCCCCTAGTCCTACTATTCTCACTGTTAAGTAGGAAAAAAGATAATGCATAAACACTATTAATTACCTTTACAATCTTAAACACCTCAATGTAATCCCTCCTAACTCTTCTTTTTTCAAGAGAAAACAATTTGAGAGATTTCAACCTTTACTTATATGACAACATCTCCATCCCAGGCACCATTCTAGTAACCCTTCTCTGAACCCTTTCCAACAATTCGGTGTCTTTCCTGAGGTAAGGAGCCCAATACTGAACACAAATATCCCAAATGTGGTCTAACCAGTGACCTATACAATGAAATTATAACCTCTTTAGACTTATATTCAATATTTCTGTAGATACAACCTAAAATTCTATTTAGCCTACCACTAGCAACAGCATACTGCTTGGATGGCTTTAAAGACTGATCAACTATTACACCAAGATCCCTGTCCTTCATAATACTGTCAAGGTTATTTCCATCCAAATTATATTATAATTCAAATTATGATAACCCACATGCATTATCTTGCATTTATTATAATTAAAACCCATCTACCATTTATTTGCCCAATTCACTAAATTATATAAATCCTTTTATAAATCAGCAGCATCCTCTTCACAGCTAGCAACACCCAAGACCTTAATATTATGTGCAAATTTAAGTAATTTATTGACTATTCTTTCATCTATGTCATTTATGTAAATCAAAAGAGCAAAGGTCCTAAGATTGAGCCCTGAGGTACCCCACTTGTGACATTAATTCACTTTGACTGAACTCCATTTGTAACAACCCTCTGCTTAGAGATAGCCGAAAAAAAAGTGTTTTCTATAAAGATGTGAATCACAGAAATATACTAACGTACAGGCATGTAACATGATATTTTTTATGTTAAAATTTGGTTATTTGTATCGTCTGTTACCGTAAGTAATCGTTCAATATTCAGTTAAAAATTAGTGCAAGTTATGTTATATCTTGTTTGTTTGTTTGTTTGTAATTAAGCACAAAGCTACACAATGGGCTATATGTGCTCTGCCCACCACGGGTATCGAAACCCGGATTCTAGCGTTGAAAGTCCGCAAACACTGGGGGGCAGGAGAAAACTTTAATATATGGGGGGCATGTTATTTCTATAGCCTAAAATGTAGACGTTTCAAATGCATAATATTTATATATTGCAAATATATTTTTGTTATGCTGGTTCTTGCGGTAAGTGGCACTAGTGTCAAGATAGACTGAAATCCTCGAGAAATTATTGCTTGTTCAGAACCTAACTCTGGAGTCGTGGTAAGTATTGAATTTTATGTTATTGGTACGGTGAGAGAAGAGAATTAATTATTGTTACTTTAGAATATGTTCAGTATTCACTTCTTTATCCTTTTTAGTAGAATATTTTATGTAGATGTGAAATTTTATAAAAATTACAAGTTGTAAACTTTGCTTTATAGTTTACCGTTTACGATTAAATTGTACTTTTGTAGTGTAACCTGTAAGTGCTTCGCCTTATGAACTTAAGTTATTATTAATAATGAAGCTAATATTTAAGTTATATTTTGAAGATTTCTTTTAAATATAGTTTAAAACATTAAGTCTTTCTATGTTTAGTGGTGGCCTTAGAAAATATCTTTCATACCCACTTACTGTCTTTCAATTCCATGCTTCAAATATTCAATCTTTATGTTTATTGCAAACATAGCTTTACATTTATCAGGCTCTTGAGACTAACCATAACAAAAAGTCAAAACCTTGTATAAGACGTAGAGACTATTGTGTTTTGTTTTTTTTTTAATTTGTAAAGTCTAACAATAAGATTATGATGTTTCTACTTCATGGCCTAGTGAAATTTTTGAAATTTATATTTCACCAGTTACACTAACTCAGTACAAGAATATGTAGCATGCTATCTAACTGTATTTGGATAATCCAGATTTCTGTTTCTGCATTACTTTTATCAGTTTATGCATACATTGCTTACTTGATACAGCCTAAAATCTAAATATATAGGCTGTGCTGGTTATGTGTTAAAGTGATAAGCATGTGGATTCAAGAGTCCATGATTTGTATCCTATTACCATAACAAACTATGCTAAAGAGTTTGAGTTTTTGAAATATGCTTTGACCAAGTGTGTGTGTATGATAATAGTAAGTGTTTTCATGTTTATTAAACCTTTAAGTAGAAAAGGTTTATTTCACCATTCCTTACTGTAAAAGAGATCAACTAGTTTTCAGTTAATTTTCCCCTTAAACATGTTATATGTTTTTAATTTAATATTTTATTACCATTTGTGTAATTTGAAAACAGAATGAAAGACTTTCAAACAAACTTCACGTAATGAAATTGTTAACATAAAATTATGAACTTTTTGCTAGATCATTAAGCAGGTATGTATATACATATACCTCACAGTCTAATTGTTATACTTTCATTGTAGGTAATAAAAGGTATAGATATTGTAACTCATCTAGTATTGTTTCTTCTGAGGTAATCTTTGATACATACATACATATATATTACTTGTGAGTTTCTATTCTCAGTTTAATGTATTTTTTTTATTGTGTTCATTTCTATTCCAGATATCAGTGTCTTCTAACCTACAAGACACTTTCCTCCAGCTTAGAAAAAGACAATTTTCTTATACTAGGAGTATTATGTGAAATTAGTTGCAATATTTGGTTTGCTTCTTACCTGACTGTGAATGTGTTCCTTGAAAGTACAAAGATGCGACGAAAACTACTAAGATTTTTTACTTTTGCAATAATATTATGGGTTGGAGTAATGTTTTATTATCTGTACAAAGTTCAGCAAGGCAGTGACAAGGTGGGTGTTTGTAGCAGAACATTAGTTTTTGTTGTTCTTTTTATCCATGTATCTTAGGTTAGTTATTTAATCTACATATATCTATAAGTAACACTTCTAAAATGTTCAACATATGCAACTGTAACATAAGAAACCTAGTTTATAAGTTGTACAGTAGTTATTCAGATGAAGCAAATTGTTTCATTACTAGAATTGAAATTGATGGTCAGTACTAGACTAAAGCTGGGGTAATTATTAAACTGAAGCTGGAGCTCAACACTATACTGAAGCTAGGGTTATTATTAAGCTCATGCTGAGGGTCATTACTAGACTGAAGCGAAGAACAGTTATTAAACTGAAGTTGGGGTCAGTACATTAAAGAAGGAGGTCATTACTAGACTGAAGCTAGGATAATTATTAAACTGAAACTGAGAGTCAATATATACCGAAGCAAGAGCCATTACTGGACTGAAACTAGGGTAATTATTAAACTGAAACTGAGAGTCAATACTACACTGAACTGGGAGTCATTGCTAGATTGAAGCTAGGACAATTATTATACTGAAACTGAGAGTCAATACTACAATGAAGTGAGTCATTACTAGACTGAAACTAGGATAATTATTAAACTGAAGCTGGGGTCAATATTACACTGAAATAGGATTCATTACTAGACTGAAACAAGGTTAATAGTAAACTGAAGCAGGAGTCATTACTAGACTGAAACTAGGGTCAATTATACACCAAAGCAGGAGTCATTACTAAACTGAGACTAGGGTAATTATTCAACTGAAGCTGGGGGTCAGTATTACACTGAAGCAGCAGTCATTATTAGATTGAAGCTAGGATAATAATTAAACTGAAACTAAGAGTCAATACTACACTGAAGTGGGAGTCATTACTAGATTGAAGCTAGGGTAATTATTACACTGAAACTGAAAGTCAATACTGCACTGAAGTGGGAATCATTACTAGACTGAAACTAGGATAATTATTAAATTTAAGCTGGGGGTCAGTACGACACTGAACTAGGAGCCCCTACTAGACTGAAACTAGGGTAGTTATTAAACAGAACCTTAGAGTTTGGAGAGTGTAGCCATTCTTGAGGAAAGAAGTTTAGTATATTGTAATTTTGTTTCTTAATAGGATCAATAAATTTTGTTTTATTTTTTTTGTATTACATATGCATTTGTACATTAGATGCTAATATGGAATATGTGAGCAACTTTCAGGGGATTTAGACAAGTTGAATTTGGTGATTAATGTACTTTATTGTTGTAGATTATTTAAGAACCATGCTAGTAGTCCTTAACATAATGGCAATATATATTAATTACTTGGATAGTTGAAATAATTGAAAATAATAATAATTGGACAACATAATTTCTGTTATTTTATTATTTTTGTGAGTTGTGACAGTAATTGATTAAGCTGAAAACTTGAACTAATATAAGATGATAATGGAAAGCCATAATGGCAATAATTTGATTACTGGTTAGTTGGAATAATCAAAAGAAGTGATAATCGGAAACACTAATTTCAATTAATCAGTTATTATAGGTGTCACTAACCGAAGTAATCAGTACTCATAGGTAATCTATTTTATGACCTTCGTCATTTGCTTTATAATATAAACAACAAAATAAACTAAAATGAATGACAAACTTTCCAGAAAAAACATTGATAAAAACATTTGATATGATGTTGCATGAGAGTCGAGAGTTTTGTTAGTCAAATATTTATGGTAATGATAGGTAACTTAAAACATGTTTAGAAAATTAACTTGGTAATACAAATAAAAGGTGATAGTTAAACTTTTTTTTATGTTACTAGAGGGGTTGTTCAGGAACTTTTGTTGTTTCAATATAATGTAAATACTCTCTTACCCAGTACATTATACCACCTCGCTGGTGTTATTTAGATATAGGGTGAACCCAAGGATGTTTCTTTAATATAAATAAGCAGTGTAGGTGGGCAGAAAATTATAAATAATATATTTCCATATTTATAAATGCAAAGTGATATAGTAAAAGATGGCCACCCAAACAATCTCATTTGTTACAGAAAACTGCTCATTTAATATGACTTTGTTTTTATGACAAGCCAAATTTCAATTGACTTTTTTAACTTTTTTCACAAAAAACCATGAAAATTTAATTTTGTAATTAACATGTTACATGGGATTTTGTCAAAAGCTTTCTAAAAACTAAGCAAAAAAGCTTCTATGTTCATACTCTCAAAAAAAAAAATCATCTTGAGTCTTGTTGATTAAATTTGAGTTTTCTGAATGCTGTTGAGGTCAAAATTATTAGCCAGTAGTTTCTCAGATCTTCATTTGATGCCTCTTTTTGTAAAAGTATACAAGTATAATCATTTATTGCTCTCTCTAATGATTTTTGAAAAATAATAGCTAAAACTTGGTTTTTCTGATGTTGTAATAGTGATATCATAGCTTGCAGTTCTTCACACATGCTAATTTGTTTTCAAAGTTACACCATTTTCTTGCATTTTAATAACATTTAAGAATTACACTTCTTTTGCATTAAACAAATTCACAGGTCTGAAACTTCTTGCATCGATTATAATGTAAGATCAATAGTAAAAAATATAGTAAATTAATGAATTAATTCATATTTATTATTAAAATCAACATTTAAGCATGCATTTATATCTACTTTGGACTTTCTAATGAAAAACAAGTTGTGGACTTGCAAATACTTAAGTTACAGTGCACACTTCTAACTGTGGAATATTGCTTTACAGAACCAGTTTGTGTAAATTATAAAATACTGGTTAATTATCTGTGAGTGTGAAGTGTGAGTGCATATACTTCTGTGCCAGTGCTTTAGTTTGTTTAAATAGGGATTATACTGAAAGTTATAAAAACAGTTTAATGTGGTATAGTAAGCAAAATTTATGACTACAGGAAAAACCAAGTAGGATATGCCATTCAAATGTCACAATAAATTTGTACTTTAAGGTATCATATAGTAGATCAATTTTACTACCAGAACATTTCAAAAACTTTGAAATCTTTTATTTTCAGAGGTTTTACATCGTAATGATCATACAAATGAAGTATTTTGCTTGCACATACATATATATGTATTCTTATGTAGTTTAATTCAGTGAATAGGTATTTTGCCTGGCAGTTCTATTATGTAATGAGCTTTTAATTGAGTTTTTCAGACTAATGCTTGGTGGTTTCGTACTGTAACTAAACGTTTTGCTGATGTTTTATTTCTTGGTTTGTTTGACAGTTAACCATATTCATAGCACATAATCAAGGTTATAAGCTAACTTTGATATAGACGAACTCATGGTACAAAACTTAAATACAATTGAGTTTATTTTGCATAATTTGTTTCCAAATTATGATATACTTTCTAAATTACAGTATTTAACAAACCAGTGTGTAAATTTTTAATTACATTCAACCTCTATTCATAAGTTTTTTGTTTATCTGATTTGCTAGTTGCTTGAATTTTATTGTTTTCATTGAAGAATCTTAATGTTTCCACCTTTAAAACTTTCAAAGGTTGGGAATATTCTTTTATTGCATTGTTCGTTCACTATACCAAACAAAGACAATAGGTAAAACATTTTACCCATTCTTGTGTCACAAATATAAAACATTGAAAAGTAAATATTTATAGTTTACAAAAATATTATAATGTTTTTAAAACCCAGCACAAAACAGTAGTTTCTGAAATAGTACGAGATGTTACTGCACAGTACTAATTTGCCACTATTATTTAATATTAAGATCTTGTGTGATAAATCTAAAAGACAAACATCAATATTTTTGTTCATGTTATTAAACTTTCCAGGGATAAAAATTATAGCATATAAAGCTTAAACTTCCTCTCTTTAAATTTTATTTCTAAGTGACCTTTTATGATTTATCTCAAAAGATAAAAGCCATGTATATTTGTTACCTTATTTGGAAAACAGAAGGTTATTCTACCCATTTAATTTATTGTTCACTTGTCTATTTTATTGCACCCCCCCAAAAAAAAAGTCTTCTTACATAAACATATTTAATGAGTTTAAAAAATGCAATCTGTGAAAATATGAAATATACATGAATTGATTCATAATTTTTTTTTAACTAGTGTTTTGTAGAAGTGGAAATAAAATACCCCACCATTACATCTTGTTTAACCCTTTCATGATCAGTCATTTTGTATTCTCAGGAACCACTGAAACTAGAAAATTTGATAAAATATCTAAAGTTTTATATCTGATTAAAGCAAGCCTCTACAAACTGACTACAAGTGTCCTAATATTATAAAAAAAATCATTGTAGAATAATAGCAGGGAGAGAAATAATGAAATAAAATTACATTCACTCAAGAGAGCGCTATGAGAAAGATTACATTCCCTCGTGTAAAATTCCCTTTCCTTATGAATTGTTTTTTTTATTTAATCCACTTTCATTGGTCATAACTAAAGGAATACGGATGGATACATAACTAAAAAGATAAAATTCCTCAAACAAAGTTAAATTCCTCAAGAATGTGGGAATGTAGTATTTGATCCCTGAATACAATAGTAGAAAGAAAGTTAAGAAAGAAAAACATACCTTCAAAGTGTTTATTTACAAAATTATCTTTAAGAGTTGAATTAAATAACTTGTAGTCATTTTTAGTTTTAATTATTTAAACATTTTCTTGAATATCTAACGAAGTGTGGTTTGTACATAGGTGCTTTAATCAGTTCTTTATTTCAATGGGTACGTAAGTGACTTGGTCATATGACCCCATGTGACCTTGCTTGTTTTTAAAGCTCAATCAGAACTGTTTGTTTGTTATGCTTTTATGCGTGTTTTCTATATGTTTGCAATGGAATTTGTGGAAGACAGTTGTTAGCCCCCTCCCTTATAATTGTTAATTTTGGAAATATATTTTCAAATAACAAGTATAATGGGAACAACAGGCTAGTTTACATATGGTGTGGATTCCATGTCGGTGGAAGATGAATTATTTTAATATTTCTAAAGAGTTAAAACTAAATACAAATTCATGCATTTCTTCTGAAATCGGTTATCCATTGTTTGTGCTGCTGTTAAAAATGATGCTTATTAGGGTGGTGAGCTGTGAAAAATTAGCAAATTATTGCATACATTTTTATCTCCTTATCTTGTACAAAAATGTCACTTGTGATAATAAATTGTGTATGCTACCTCATACAATGTAGATTTGTTAACTTATAATAAATGGGGATAAGAAATTTTGTTTTGTACACATAAATTGGCCTTGTCTCTCAGAAAAGTAATTATTTATCTTTCAATGTTGTTTTAAGAATGTTGTACAGGTTTTCTTAAATGTCAGAGCCTACTTGCATGCACTTTGTTCTGCTCAGACTGTTTCAGATAAGGCTAAAATATGTCCACTTACCTTGTGGCTGAGTTTGTAACTATATAATGTTCTTACTTTTATCTTACCAAATCAAAGAACATTCTCAAGTCCATACAGTTTTTAATTATAGTAAACTGCATTTTAAAAAAATGTTTTTTGTTTTCTTCGGAAACAGCAGAATTTGAAAGGATTGTTGAGATAGCTTGTATTCAATTTTACTGTTATATATCAGAAAATGTGACACAAGTAGTTGTTTAAGCTATAGCTGACATTTGTCTAAAACTTATCTAGAGAGACATATTGATAATAGCAACATTACAGAGTGATTAAATACCAGATATAATGTTTTTTTTACAAAAATCTACATATGTATAATCTTCATAAAATTGTATTTTTTATAAGTTTTTTATATTATATACTGAAATTCTGTAAATTTAGATGTTCTTTATAACAATCAGCATATAGATGATGGTTGCAGTATATACAAAACTATTACTAGGCATGGGTTTTTGAATCTGTCTCCTGTTGCTTTCACTTAAGTCAAAGCTGTTAATTGGGTCATCTGTTGTTTGTCAGATTTGTGGTTAAGGACAGTAATGGTAAAAAATGGTAGCTGTTCTCTTTACAAAGGATGAATCTGTTAGTGTTTTAAATTTTGCTTATTAATAAGTATTTATAACATTTTAGTTTACTTTATCATCACAGTGCTATTTTTTGTTTTGTTTATTTTAAAATAATTGTTTCACTCTGCTTTTCTCCATACAGTGCAAGCAATTTTTTTGTTTTTTAATTTGATAAAACAAGGAGAGAGCTAACAGAGACAAAAATTTCTTCAATTCATTGAAACATTTTAATAAGGTATTACAAATTTAGTCATTTCTAAACACGTGCACTTTCAGAAACTACAAGTTTAAAATCATGTGTTTTTAATATTTTGTATTTTGCTGTAGCAAGTGTATCTTCTCATTACTGTACTTGCACATCCTTGTGTCAGAGGATTATGTGTAATAAAATCTGCTAGTTATCAATGTTGTTAAACCTGAATTTTGTTTTTTATGTCATGTCAAGCCCTTAGTAATACAGAAAATAATTACACGTGCTTATACTAAAGCACTTCCCATATTTCTACATAGCATTTCATCTTTAATTTAATATTTTAACAAGAACAATACTCTCTGTTCAACATATTGTCTCTGACATTTTTTCTTTGCATTGTAGTATGTGTTGTAGCTATAATGAATGAGGACTGATTTAGGCATGTTGAGACAGATGAAACTTTTTGAAAAATAACATATTCTATTTTATATTTGAAAGCAAATAATTTCTGTACCCTTCCTGGGGAGACAGGCATTATATATGAAATACCTCAAACTTAGTTCCACAGGTGTACACTTTGTTCATACTTTCCTTTTTCAAACAAGTACACAGACCTATATATTCATTTTAAAATTACTTAATTTTTTTACGAACTCATTTAGAAACAGTCCCATGTATAAAACAATCACAGACAAAAGTCACTATGATAACAAAGTTGTTATTTGGAATAGCTTTTCAGGGAAAGGTCTGTGCAAGAAAAGAAATATGCTTGCTAGTAATATATATACATTTATATATATCTTTTTCTAAACCTAATTTCATAATGCTACTCCCTTCTCTGTTTCAGAAGAATAAAGCTTTACTTTTAAAAGAAACAGTGACAAAAGTGAGGCACAGCCAACAGTATAAAGTAATTGAAGACAAAATATCACTAAAGTATTTTGATGAAGAAGCCTATATTTCAAAGTCAAGATTACATCCTGGAGATGATCCTTATGCAAGAAATAAATTCAACCAAGAGGCGAGTGATAAATTACCAAGCAATCGAGAGATCCCTGATACCAGGCATTCTGAGTAAGCTTTATATGGTGATTAACCAATACTTGCATATGAAACAAGATGGGATTTCAAACTTGTTAATTTGAATAAATAATTCTGTATTTGAAATATTGTAAAATTTCTATCCAAGGAATTAACAACAACCATTATAATACTTTTTAATAATAATATTGAAAGAAAATGTTTTACATGTGTATAATAATCTTAACAAACATCATATGGAGACTGTTGTTAGAAGCAATCTAGATATGTTTTTGAAAGTAGAAAAGATGTTATAAGCCATATTAACCAAAGTTAAATTGAACCAGAACTATTTCCAATTACACTGGGTAAAAACATTATTAAAGTAGCAGTATTGTATACAATATAAATTTTTTCTGTAACATATTTAATATGATGCTTATGACTGACATGAAATTAACATCAGAGTAACAGGTGTTTAATAATCTGTGTAATTGTTTTTGAATAACTGAAACACAGTTAACTTCAAGAGAATTTGCTTAGACAGTAAAGGAGATCTCTGGTTTTTACTTTTCATAAGTGAAACAGCTTAAATAATCTTGTATATTTAACTAATACACTGAACATAATTTAACATACTGTTAATTTTATTTTAATGGCATAAAATTCCTGAATGAAAGAGACAGTTAAAAATTAAACAGTCGTTCCCTCTCTTCAGGTGCTCCTCTAAAGTTTACAGAGATGAGAAACATCTTTCCCCAACAAGTGTGATTATAACATTTCACAATGAAGCAAGATCAACCTTGTTAAGAACAGTTGCCAGGTACAGCATATCACTATGAACATCTGCTTGCAAACTAGAGTAAACTTGTAGAAATTTCAAGGGTAATACTGGATCTAAAAGAATGGAGAGTTTGGTTTTCCAATCCCACAGTGTCTATGTTAATGAATTCTTAGTGTCACTGAAATTTTTCATCATAACGAAGTTCTACTGTGATATTAATTTACATTAGAATATTTCTTGTTCAGAGGGAATACTGGGAACAAATTATTTGATAAAAGGCATTTAAAATTCACATGTTAGGAAAGTTGTTTTTATTTTTTTTGTTTCCTAAAAGAAATGATCTATATCATAGAATTCTAGTGAAAAACCATTCAAAATAATATGTTTACTGTACCAAATAGTTTTATCAAAAGTATTCTGTTCAAAGTTCAATTCATGAGTAATTCCCATTTTGTCAAACCTAATTACCAGAATTACCTAACTGTAAACACTATGTTTAACTATTTTTTGACTTGGGTTTTATCTTTCTAGTGATGTTTTTAAATATTATTATAAGTTTAATGAAAAAAGTACTTCTTGTTAGCAGTTGAAATTGGTATCATTAAAAACCGTTGTGCCCTGATACATGATAAAACTGTAAACAAGAAACTGATAAAGGAATTATGTCAACATTTAAGATATGTTCTAATAATGAGAATATAGGCATTTAATGTTAACTACATTTTTCATGGTAATGTTTCTTGTTGTAGAGTGATGTATATTAAGAATATTGATTGTAGTAACCTTTGTTGTAAAAATAAAGAAACAAAACCTTTTAAGCTAATATAAACCATTTTCTATCATAATTCTTAATCTTCAGAAGTTTGTGTTGTAGTTTTGTATCTCCTGCACATTTATTCTCTCACGCAAGTTGTACAAAACTAAATTTAAGCATCATAACCAATGTTATTTGATATTCTTCAAATAATGCCCATGAAACAGACACATTACCCAGTTTATTTTCATATATTGCAGCTGGTAGGAGCTACTAATGCTTGCTGTTTTATGTAAATTAATTTGCCTTATTTTTTTTAAGTGTTCTGAACAGAAGCCCAGAAAATCTCATTAAAGAGATCATTCTTGTGGATGACTTTAGTGATGATGGTAAGAATGTTTTATTAAAAAGACGTTTCATTGTGTTAATGTAATATAAACCAAAAGTATCCATTATTAACAGTCTGCTCAAACATATTGAAACATTGGTGATATATAATCATTGTCATTGGGTGTTTCATTTCAATTTATGGCTAAAAATTTTCACTTTCCTTCTTATTAAAATTTGATATGTCAGTGCTTGTGATAGGAAAATAGCCTTAAAGATTACTTTTTAAAGTCAGTATCATAGTTTTTTAGATTCAGTTGACTGACTGAATTATAGGCAGACCAGATTTCTTTTGAGAACTGCTGTTGTTTTATCCTTTCCCATATGGTGAAATGTGACTGTTTTCATGAGATTGTTTGTCTGAAGCCTAACAATTATACTTTACTTGATGTTGAAAAGTAAAGTTGGTAAAGGTCAGCTAACATGTAAACTGTAAAGATTATTGTGTCATGTTTTTAATTTCTAACATATTAATCACTGTATGCTATATAGTCATGCTACTATAAATTCTAAACAAAATTTCTCTAATTCCTTTTGTTAGCACTAATGTACAAAGTGTTGTATATTAATAGTGTTTAGATATTTTTAGCAATTCTTTTTCTTGGATAATTATTTTTATGTATACTTTAATAGTAACTTAAAAAATAGGTAAATATTCTGTTTATTTTGAGCCTCTGATGGAAAAGAACTTGAGAGCATTCAGAAAGTTCGTGTGCTAAGAAACAACAAAAGAGAAGGTAAGTTTGAAATATGTGGTATCTTTGATTGTGAGAAATCATTATTCAGATGTTGGTGTTTTTAAAAGTAGTACAAAAAAGTGTTGTTATAATTATGATTCCTTGTGTAAGATGAATATTATCAACCATAAGCTTTTCATTAGATATTTAATTCAGCATCTATGCTTAAGTTTAAATGTAGGACTGGTCAGAAAAATTTAGAAGCAAATATGCAGGTAAACTAGTTTTATCAGGTCACTGTAGTTGTCACCCAAAATATATAACATTTTGGGACAACATGGAACCTATTGGTCCTTCTCTGCTATTCCATCTTCTAAACTAAAAGTATTGATGAATAAATTAAAAAAAAAATCTTAAAGCCAGCCCTTATCAATCATATACTTATCAAGCTTTCTCTTAAACTCACTTAAATTTCCTGCTTCCAAAACATCCAAAGGCAACCCATTCTAAAGGGCAACCATCCTGTTAGAAAAATAAAACTGTCTTTGCTGAAGATGACTCCTACCCTGCCAAAATTTATATTTGTGTCCCCTAGTCCTACTATTTTCACTGTTAAGTAGGAAAAAAAGATTATGCATCAACACTATTAATTCCCTTTACAGTCTTGAACATATTAATCAGATCCACTCCTAACTCTTCTTTTTTCAAGAGAAAACAATTTGAGAGATTTCATCTTGGGCACCATTCTAGTAACTCTTCCCTAAACCCTGTCCAACAATTCAATGTCTTTTCTATGGTAAGGAGACCAAGACTGAACATAATACTCCAAATGTGGCCTAACCAGTGACCTATACAGTGACTTGTATTCAATATTTTTGTAGATACAACCTAAAATCCTATTTGCCATGGCACTAGCAACAGCACATTGCTTGGATGGCTTTAGAGACTAATCAACTATTACATCAAGGTCCCTTTCTTTCGTGACACTGTTAAGGTTATTCCTATCCAAATTATACTTAAAATTCAAATTATGATAACCCACATGCATTATCTTGCATTTATTATAATTAAAACCCATTTGCCATTTATTTGCCCAACTCACTAAATGATCTAAATCCTTTTGTAAATCAGCAGCATCCTCTTCACAGATAGCAACACCCAATACCTTAATGTCATCTGCAAATTTAAGTAACTTATTGACCATTCTTTCATCTATGTCATTGATGTTACTCAAAAAAGCAAAGGTCCTAAGACTGAGCCCTGAGGTACCACACTTGTGACATTAATCCAGTCTGACTGAACACCATCTGTAACAACCCTCTGCTTTCTTCCATCCAGTCACTCTTCTATCCAATTTGCTAACTTATCCCCAGATCTATAGAAATATTTTTTTTTACAAGCCTTTTATGTAGCACCTTGTCAAATGCTTTCTGAAAATCCAGATACACCAAAATAATTTACACTCTTACCTTCATCTATATAAGCAGTAACCTTTTCAAAGAATGTCAAAGATTCGTAAAGCAAGAGTTTCCTTTAGTGAAACCCTGTTGACTGTCTAATGAAATTCTAAACTTTGTTAAATGTCTTTGCAAAGCATCTTTTATCAGACTTTCCAAAACTTTTCTCACAACTGATGTAAGACTAATGGGTGATAATTACTGGGACAATGTTTGTCACCTCTCTTAAAAATAGGAGTGACATTAGCTAACTTCCAATCTTCTGGTACCTGCCCACTATTGAAGGACTTATAAAATATAACAGCAAATGACTCACATATCTAATCTTTAACCTCCTTCAGAACCCTTGGGAAAATATTAAAAAATTTCTGAAAAAAAGATACTGGATCGATCAGTTGAACCCACTCAGAAGCTTTTGAATATATTAAGACAAAGAATAACTTGCTGTTAAAAAGTGTGTATTTTTAATTTTTATAGTTTCGTTTTTATCAAATTGTTTCAGTAATATGGATGAGCAAGTGCCAGCTTGAAAAACTGACAAATTGATGATAATTCTTTGGGAACATTATTCAATAATTTTGGCAAGAAGGAGAAAATAAAACTTTACAGAAAACATCTTCTAAAGTTAAATTTTTAAACAGTCATTAAGTTTTTAGAATTGTCTTTTACTGTGTTTGATTATTAAAATACTCAAATAGTGTTTAGTTTATCTAAAAAATAGAAAATATAACTTTCTTTTAATAACACAGTATCTAATTTTTCAATATTATATTAAGGCATACAATTTTTATCTATGAATAGGGTTAGTAAGATCAAGAGTTCGAGGTGCAGATGCTGCTACATCTGAAATATTGACATTTCTGGACAGCCATTGTGAATGTAACCAAAAATGGTTAGAGCCTCTTTTGGATAGAGTAGTTGAGGTAAAATTTTATTATGTCACAATGTAACAGTTTCTGCTACAGGTTATGAAATTGAGTTTTCACTATATTTGATTTGGACAGAATTGTTTGGTATAACAGTTTTATGGAAGTTTAAGGAGACGTTTTCAGTGCACAGTAAGTGGTTTAAAGATAACGTTAGACGTGATTGTATTGCATCGTTAATTTTGGAATAACCTAGAATGACTGCTGATTCATATGAATGATAATGATACACATCTGTTCAAGAACCATTTTACAAATTATGTACTTATGCTTGGCTGTTAGCCAAATGATTGTTTTAAAGTAACTAATAGATATAAAGCAAGAAAGCAGCACAGAATGGAAATGGAATTCAGTAGTTTTAGTTTTTTATCTATAAACATCAGAACTATAATTCTGTCTTTAAAAAGTAGTGAGTATAAAGCGATATGAAGTTTCAGTTTTAACACTTGTGCTTGATTATCAGCATTTAGGAAAACCATTTAGCAGGAACTACAAGAAAGAATAAGCCTATTGGTATAATATTCTGTTACATTTAAAAATTAGTTTTCTTTTAGATGACTCTCATTTTTTCAACCTTTTACAATCATTATTCCTCCAATGTATCAACTTTATAATAGTCACAAACCTGTCTGCTTTTCATTATTTTAGCATTTAAACAGCATTAAATCTGTCTACCCTTTATTATACAAGCTTTATATAGTCTCTGATCTAATGGGTGTTATGCAAGTTTTATACAGTCTCTGATCTAATGGGTGTTATGAAAGCTTTATACAGTCTCTGATCTAATGGGTGTTATGCAAGTTTTATACAGTCTCTGATCTAATGGATGTTATGCAAGCTTTATGCAGTCTGATCTAATGGGTGTTATGCAAGCTTTATATAATCTCTGATCTAATGGGTGTTATGCAAGCTTTATACAGTCTCTGATCTAATGGGTGTTATGCAAGTTTTATACAGTCTCTGATCTAATGGGTGTCATGCAAGTTTTATAAGAATGAAGTTCTAGGTCTCTTTGCTTTTAGTGCTACTTCATCATTGATTATGTATGCTCACTTTGATGAACATGACTAGACAACTGCTTGACACCAACAATATTCATAGTAAGATGGTTAGTCTTAGATCACACATGTTGACTTTCCGCAGCTCTTCCACTTTATGTGGACATTGACTTACAAGATCACGTATATGCAGTCCAAAGGCATAAAAGTAAATTGGAACTGCATCAATTGACTTCACAGACATGAGGTTGCTATGATTCTGGATTCTTTCCATCTCACTTGTGAAAACAGAATTTTAGTGTGGCTAGTAGCTTGTGAATTCTGGACCTCTGAGTCTTCATCAACATCAAATAGTTGTTTTTTTATTTTCTTAACATTACCAGAAGATATTCCCAGTTTCCTCTTAATGGCTTTTTGAGTTAGGAGGTTACATATTGTAACAAAATCATCACTTTGTATATTAAAGTGTTGCTCTGGATTGTATTGGGTTGTGGTTTTGGAGCCCATTACTACCCTAAGTTCTCTGCTAAGTGAGTTTTTCCATTTTCATTGAGAATGTTGACTTGAAGGCCTCCTGCATCAAAATGTTGTTACCTTTGGCTTTACATCATGTAACAGGTTTGCAGTATGAATATCCTTCTTCAGGGAGAACTGTGACATAATCCTTTAGTCATAAGTCTGTCTGTGTCAGCATTGAATATTGAACTGTTGGGAATTTGTTGTAAACCAAATATACAGGTACTTAACACATTACTTATGGCACTGCTACGTTATCATATGCAAATCATCATTGTCAAGTTCAGCTTAACCCCATATACCTACTCTTTATGGAGTTTTAATTGTACATGGTAATAACTCAACATTATAGAGTTACTCATCTTTTGATACTTCATTACATTGGTTTTGTAGTTACCTTTATCTGGTTTTGTTATAAAAACTACTGCTTTCAGTAGAAGTATCATACAAACTACATTAGTTCAGTTCTATGCATTTGTTTGTTTTGTCTCTTTCATACATGATAGTAAACCAATAAAGGAGGATATGATGAATATATGTTTTTTTATTACTTAAATGTTCTTACAGGATTACACAAGAGTTGTTTGTCCTGTGATTGATGTAATCAACATGGATGACTTCAATTACTATGGTGCTTCATCAGATTTACGTGGAGGTATGGGAAGTTTTGTAAACCATTATTTGTAAGTTTTATAAAGCATTATTATTATATCGGGACAAGATGTAGATGATCAGGTTCTCTTCATTTTTCATTTCTTCTTACATTGTTTGTCTGCTCTGCATTCCACTGCATCCTCCAATACATGCCCTCCCACTATGTACACTGATTACAGAGCCAAGGAATAATTTCATAACATATTTATTATCATTTTTATGATCTTTTAAATGAAATATAATGTGAATACAAAAAACATAAACAATTTAAAGCCATCAATATATATTAAGCATCTGGAATATCTTGTTTATCTGTATGTTGGACACAACTTATTCTCTCTTGAATTTCATAAAAGAAATTATTGACTTCTGAAAGGTCTATAAAACTTTTTATCATAGTAAATTGGATGAAGTTCTTAATAAAACATGTCACTTTGGTCATGAAGTAACACTGTGTGTATTAGAAAATCATTGAAGTTCTTATTACCATGTCACTTTGATCATGAATTAACACTGTGTGTATTATAAAATCACTGAAGTTCTTATTACCATGTCACTTTGATCATGAAGTAACACTGTGTGTATTAGAAAATCATTGATGTTCTTATTACCATGTCACTTTGATCATGAAGTAACACTGTGTGTATTATAAAATCAAAATCACTGAAGTTCTTATTACCATGTCACTTTGATCATGAAGTAACACTGTGTGTATTATAAAATCATTGAAGTTCTTATTACTATGTCACTTTGATCATGAAGTAACACTGTGTATTAGAAAATCATTGTAGTTTTAACTAAATGGGCCTAACCTACCAATTCATTGGATTAGCCAATTATTCTTATTATTTTAAACTAAAATTAAATTGATAATAATTTTGAAAATAAAAGGAACATACTAAAAGAAATATGTTGATTCTTTTACAAAATAATGGATGTATATTTTCTTTTACCTATCAGTATATAAAAAAAAATTGTAAAATTATTTTGATAATCAGTAATGTGTTTATTACATATTTAGATAAATGAATAATTCATCTCTCACAGTACAAGTTAAATGCTGATTTACAAAACTGATTAAACAGCTAATAATCCATACTCAGAATAAGAATTTCTGAAATACAGAAGATTTCCATCCATGTGCAAACACTTCAATAAAGGGTGTATAGCGTATCTCGTAGTATTAATATCTTACTCGTTCACATCGTTTTAATGAAATATTATCTTGTGTTCATTTCTCTTGGTGTCAGAACTGAAAGGTAAATATTTAAGAGTTTTTTATTTGGTATATGAAACATACATTAGGAACTTTTATCAAGAGATTGAATTAGTGTAAAGCACTGAGAATAATCAATATCTGACCATTTATTTTTGGTACTGTTGCATACGGCAGAAAAAAAAAGTAAAAATTATGTAAAGTAATGGAAAATTTATGTGTGAATCAATAGGTTTTGACTGGAATCTTGTCTTCAAATGGGAGTTTCTTTCTTCAGCTCAAAGACACAACAGAGCTAATCAACCTGTACTTCCAATTAAGTGAGTATGTCTAAATTAATGATAACTTGATCTTCATATCAAGCACAGTCTAATACATTATTCATGTATGAGAATTGTCCCTTGGTTTGCAGTTTACCACTGATTTCAACATGTTTTGGATCATTTCAGAAATTATGCAAATTTGGTAAACAAACTGATGTGTTTGCATATATGCATCTACCTACAATCATGTGTTTGTTAACCCTTCTAATACAGGTGGGTGGATTCCACCCAGCCCATATTCTCGAAAGTAAACATAAAGCAGTTATACTGTAACTTCATATCTTCATGCAATTTTTCAGATTATCAGTAAACGGTTCAAGGCATTTGTGCACAAAATATCAGATTTTTTAATTAAGTTTTAACATTTGTTAATTAATTATTTGCTTGTGCATTTTTTATTTTCAAATATTGACCATCCAAGTAATTTTGATTTTAAGAGTAAAAATACTTTTATGCATCAGAATACTTTCAAATTTCACATGCAAAATCTTTATAACTTCCAGATAATTATCAAATGTTTTTTGAAAAAAAACTGTATTTTATATGTTATTTTCACTACAGTATGTCTGTACAGGTTGGGTCGATTTGACTGACCTGGTAACCACCATAAAAAGTTAGGAAATAAATATAAATTATGCTTTTTTTCGTTCTACAATGACTAGAAATTATAACACGAAAACACAAATGTTTAATCTAAATAGCTGAAATCTCTTAACATTATACATTTATATATATATTTATTATTTTCATTATATTGACCTTTCAGCCATGCTTGGCTAACATTACAGAAGTTGCAATGACACAGCACATGTGCACTCATGTTACTGTATCTAAGAGTATAAAACTGGTCTTTACAAATTGATCTGTCTTGGTTGTGTTTTAGAGGACTAATATTTTGTAAAATACAGTCACATTTCAGTTATAATACATTATATATGTATATACATTATTACTATTTACAAACAAGTTCTTAAAATTGTTTTTCTTAAAACATAGAACAGTAAATAAGGAAATATAGCAGACAATTTTCTCTACTAGTTACAAACTTTGTACTTGTTTACTGCTTGCCATAGGTTGCTAAGCCTCATAAAATTTTGCAGGTGAAGGATGTGAAACAAAATAATTTTTATAGGTTTTATATATGCATTTTGAAACAAAAAAAATCATAAATTATTGTATAAATACCACAGAATTCCACTATAATTTATAAGGCTTAGTAACTAAGCTGTATTTGGGTCTAAAAAAATATGATTTTTCATACTCAATAATATCCTACCTTATCACTTGGAATCTACCATGAAAAGAAAGGGTTTCCCACATAAATACTTCGAAAAGACTCAGAGAACCACGTGGGCGGGACATTCTGAGCTTTCAATTTGTTATTCACACATCATAGACAGAAGTAAGTGTATGTGTTTCCAAAAATGGAAAGAGGTGGGTGGGGCCACTGTGTTTGATTCCCTAAACATAGCAATATCTCAGCAAATAGAAAAGATAGGAGGTTCTTACTTTATATTTTAGCTTGTAAATATCAGAAATTTGAGTTCATAATTCGTAAGAAACTATAGACTTTGTATTTGGACATCACAAACATCTAATTTTAACCAATGCTGCATTGAACATACCACGTGACACACGAAAATTGGTATTTAGATTTTTTTTTTAATATTTACTTTTCAATTAAGAAATTAACTAATGTATAATACTAAAATTTGAATTATGATCTGCAATTTGATACCAAACTTATTGACATAAATTCATAAAATAGTAGTTGAATAAAATTTTGAATGTGAGTCAACAAACAAGATGACATGGCCTTTGACCTTGTGTCAATAAGGGTAAAGTCAACTGAAGTTGTAAATGCCTTAGAATTGCAACATCAACAGTGAATCCCAAAAATTATCTGGTTTAATTGAGAAATTCTGAAACTAACTTGCTTCTCACTTAAATCTGATTCTAAAGTTACTTAACTGTTAAGTTGAGTTTTGTTTTTTTCTTTGAAATAGTGGATGTTTTTAGTGTTTTTATTCTTTACATCCATTGAAGAACTTGCTTTGTTAAAATGTTTATATTAAAGAATAGGAAAAAAATACTAATACTCTGATAAATTGTTTACTCCTGCTGTTGTATTTTAAATAATTTTTATGTCAGCTGAGTTATATATCACTGCTTTTGGAATATTAAGAATTATTGCCCAATATAATTAACAAGGTAGCTTAATGGTGATTGTTTTAAATGCCAACTGCGTGACTAAAAACTACCACTTCTGCTCTACTTTTTTTTTTTTCTGGCCATTTGTGCTTGCATATACAAGTATGTTTGTATGTTGACAGTGGCTAAAATAAGAAAGTTACATCAATTTCAAACTTAATAACTGTGGTTTGAAAGTCTAGTCACAAGTCATGTATTATTGCTAAACAAATAAAAAATTGATTATAATCTAAGTTATTTTGACAAAGAACTGTTAAAATATTTTTGGATAATGTAAGTAACATTTCCTTGTAACTTTTATCTGTTCTTTACAAAATTGAATTAAAATAAATACATTTTAGAATTAATTGTGTTCAAAGTGAATGACATAATGTATCCATCTTCCAACTAACACCAGAAATGTGTATTTTCTCTTGAAATGGCCAACAGTACTTTTACCAAGTACATTCAGATTTACACAGTTCATACAGTGCACAGTTCAACACAGAAATAGTAGGTCTGTCTTGGTGTTGATATGTAGAAAATTGTTGAAGCTTTATAGCTTTCTAGTTAAACCTAACTCTTATGAGTTTTATCTTGTACTAACCTAGTTGAGTTGATAGAGCTAAAAAAATAAATCAGTGCTTCTTGTGTGATTTATCATCCAGTATGAGAAACGTGGTTCATACTATAAAAGATCTTTCTCATAGTATAGATTTGTTTCTATTCCATTAATTTACTACTGCACTAGTGAAAGTTAGTTAAAGGAGAATATTATTTTAATTTCAGGACCCCAATGATAGCTGGTGGGTTATTTGTAGTAAACAAAACATTTTTTGACAGACTTGGAAAGTATGATATGATGATGGATGTTTGGGGTGGAGAAAACTTGGGTATGTATTTTTAACCTTTTCTTAATAGTTTATACAAAACTAGTATACTAATAGTAGTAGTCATTTTAAAACATTTTATAACAATCAAGTTAATTATTTTGTATTGTTGAAGGAATAGGTACAATTAATACTAATACTGTTGTATGATTTTGATGAAAATATGACTTCTTTTGTTTTAAAGAATATGTTAATTATGACAATAAGCTTTAAAGTGTAAGAGCACAATGTGGTAGTAGTTTTCAGCTTTATTTTATATTACACAGAAGTACATCATCTTTGTTTACACAGATATTAGAAGATCTAAATACTGTAAAGAAATCAAGTATGTTCTGATAACAGGTCAATTTTTTTGTAGTTTCATTCAGATTTGCTATTATAGCCTTACAGAAAATTATCAAAAGCTAAATTTATCCTTCATTTCTACACCAGCTGACACATTTTTGAAAACAATTGTATTAGTTTTTGCTTATTGTAATAAAGCGTATCCCTACTCCTCTTAACCTGTTCACCTTACGTATACAAGTTGAACCTTTTTTCTTGTGTACGCTGTGGCTGTGCCATATATGGGATTTTATTTTTAATTTTCCCACATGAACTGGTAAGGGGTATTTATGAGTGTTAAAGCATTCTCCATCCATCCAAGCATTGTTACTGAACAATAAGTCAATTGTTTTTTGTCTTTTCTCACAATGTCAAATAAATCGTATATACAGCACGGCTGCAGTGTACAGAAGAAAAAAAAGTCTGACCCATATATGTAACAGCCTCAGTGAATAAGTTAGTCACAAAATAAAAAAACTTTTATCTGTGCTACAACTTTGGCTGTTAGGTGTGATAATGAGCTGTTGTAATTTTGATCAGTAAGTGTGGTTAAAATAGTAAGTATTAAGCTACGTACGAGCAAACAAGTAAAATGATGAGTGAGCTGGAGCTTAATTCAAAATAGTATTATTAGTAATCTGATAAAATATTCTGCTTTTTTATTTAAATTGAACCAGCTGTTTTACTGTTGCCCCCTAGAGATTCAGTGGTAAGTCTGAAGACTTATAACACTGAAAACTGGGTTTCAATACCTGTGGTGAGCACAGAACAGATAGCCCTTTATGTAGCTTTGTGCTTAACAACAAACATTTTTCTGTTAGGTGTCATAGCTTGATTTGGCAAACATTAGGAAGGAGATGTTAAGTAAATAGTTTGAATTTAGGGACTATTTTATTAGTATATATTTCAGTATACTTGATCTATTTATATCCCTCCACTAGGTAAAAAAGTCATTTGCCAATCCTAAAGTAATTCTATGAAGTTAGACATATGGAGGTAGTAATTAAATTTTTTCCCCAGTAACTTGTGTGATACCAAATGTTTGTGATTTAGTATCACAAAGAAAGGTTCTGGTATCACACAATATGATACCAAACTATGAGTACTACAGTATCTCACACAAAATCTCCAACAGAACTGGTCTGAATGCTACTGTGATTAAGAAAAAGATGCTTAAGTCCTTCAAATTTAACAACAACAACTCACAACTGTGATTAAAATGTATGCATAGACCCTGAAATACCATCTTTAGTTCCCTCTGAGCACCAACTTGTATGTTTATTAGAATTAATGGCCCAATACTAGGTAATTATTCAGTACTTCAGAAATCCTGAATTTCTGGGGTTAAGGCGTAGAGTTGAATTAATGGTTATTAGATTATATGAATACTACACCAAGAAATATAAACTCATCATTAATGCACTTGATGAAGGAGCTCTTTTAATGAATCTTAATAACTTGCTCAAATAAAGATTAAAGAAACACGAGTTATCCTGACATATAAATACTACTATGAATTTTCCCCCATCATAC